AATGTCAGAGACCAAGTTTCACACCCATACAGAACCACAGGCAAAATTATAGTTTTGTATATTCTAATTTTTATGTTTTTGGACAACAGACGAGAAGACAAAAGGTTCTGCACTGAATGGTAGCAAGCATTACCCGAGTTCAATCTCCTCTTAATTTCCTCCTGAATCAGGTTTCGATCTGTTATCGTTGTTCCCAAATATCTGAACTGCACCACATTTTCAAAACATCTGTTTCCTATCTTTATGTCATGATTTTGCTCTGCATTTTGGTGACGAGACAGTAACATATACTTAGTTTTCTCAGTGTTTACTTCTATATCAATCTCTTTACTTGCGTCAATTATAGTAGGTGTGTTTTTCTTTATGGTATCTACATTATTACCCAGTAGATTCACCTAATCGGCGTAGACCAACAACTGATGTGTTCCGTATAATTTCAGGACTAAGTCCCTTGTACTGTGGCCACTTCTGGCCTATTGTACCAGCCCCAGATGATAGGTGAGGGTGATTGTGGAGCAACTGGTGGAATGAAGATTGGCAGGGAAACCGAAGTACTCGGAGAAAACCTGCTCGAGCACCACTTTGTCCACCACAAATCCCACTTGACCAGACCCGGGATGGAACCCGGGCCGCTGCGATGGGAAGCCAGCGACTAACCGCTTGAGCTATGACGCGGCCTATATTCAAACTAAGAACAGTGGAATATCAAGGTACACAAAGCTATATTATTTCCGGTATTTTTTATTTGTGTGAAATACGGCGTCTTGCTCTGAGGAATAATACGAGTTACATGCTTTTGGAAACAAAATGACGAGAAAAATATTTTGGTTTAAGAAGGACAAATTTCAGACGTTATTTACATAACAAATTACACAGGATATATACTTAATAATGAAATTAAGAACACTTAAAAGAGTCTTGGCATAGATAGAGAACATGCATTCAGAATTTCGGTAGGCAAACATTCATTTGTAGTAGCAATAAGGTGGTGGAGGATATCATTAAGATGGGTTTAGGGAGATAAGTTTGTAAGGATGGAGCTGGCTAAGGAATATATAGGCTTTGGTATTAGATGTGTACATATTCGAGCTCTTGATTAGAAAATCTGGAAATCTGAACACAAATATTAATTTCAAATTTATCGAAGTTAGACAAGTTAATATGAGCACGGCTTAGGATTCAGATGAATCATAGTGAGTTAGCTGTATATATATATGCACAACATGAATCATCATGGCGGTAGTGAAAGGAATTGTTTGGATACAGAGATCAGCGTTCGTACGTTCGATTTTTATTACATTGCATATAAACTCAGTTTGGATCAAAGGTCAACGAGTGACTGCGTTTCTATCGGACTGTTATCTCTGTCTATCATGCAGTGGCATCGGTTTCAAATAAAACATTAATATAGTATGCTCTATTGACCCTATCTGTTTGGGAAAACAGTTGCAAGTCATGTTAATAACGGCAGTAACAGACTCCTGTCTCCCTCTGTTCCAAAAATGATAGGCTATTATCTTAAACATCCAATAACTTTCTTTTCGAGCTATCGTACGGACTATGAACACGGAGCGCTCTCTATTAAACTATTTATTTTATTGCTAGTGGGGTGGGACTAAGTCCCTTGTACTGCGGCCACTTCTGGCCTATTGTACCAGCCCAGGATGATAGGTGAGGGTGATTATGGAACAATTGGTGGAATGAAGATTGGCAGGGGAAACCGAAGTACTTGGAGAAAACCTGCCCAAGCGCCACTTAGTCCACCACAAATTCCACTTAACCAGACCCGGGATCGAACCAGGGCCGCCGCGGTGGAAAGCCAGCGACTAACCGCTTGAGCTATGGCGGGGCCGAACTAACTAACTAACCACCATGAAAGAGACTCATTCTTCAGATGTGAATAGTCTCTCGGATACTCAAGAAATTACCATTCACGAAACCTGAAAGTAAAAAGTATAAAAGATAAAGCTATCTCTGTAAGAGGCCGTGGTGGCCCATACGGCTGTGAGACATCGAGACTCCCACATTTTCTAGAAAATCGGCTTACGGATGGCGGTTAGGTCAGCCTTACACAATGGCCTCCTTTTCCTCCCAAGAATTTTACTGGTACTCTTTCCTGTTAGAGGCTGAGTCGAACCCACAGCCATAATGCAGCTGGAAGGATTAGATTAATTTTAAAATCCAATGACCTCATCGAGATTAGAACCCGCTACCTTCCTGCTTGTAGCAGAGTACCTCAACCAACTATGCTACCGCATGCCACCGAAACCTGCACGTTCATTACAATATTCACAACAGACCATCACTAGATTCTGATTGAAGCCAGATGAATCCAGTCCACACACAACATCCTTTATCTTGTACCAGGCACATGAAAACGGGTGTAAGATGACGTTCCCACAATACACAGGATTAAAACTTCTGGAATAACACAAACTATGGAATATATAAAAGGTCTGTCACAGTGAAAGGCGCTAGTGAAAATTTTCCGACGAGAAGGAAGAGTACGCACGTAAACAGGTTTTCTCTTGAGATTTCAAAGTTAAGAGAAACGATTTTAATGTGGTTACATCTATTACAAACAGCAAATATGTGGTGTATACTTATATTGTAATAGGGATATTCAAAGTATCATAGTGTAAGCAAAGTAAGGAGCCTGAAAAACATTTACGTGTCATGAATAATATTTTCTAAAACTAAATCACAACGAATTCGGGGCTGAATTTTTAGTACGCAACGTAGTCGAAGGGATTTTGAGGCCAGCCATCGTGTTTGAAATTTAATTGGGCTACCTAAGTCATACAAGGAACTGCTTGAATTGTAAGTTGGAAGGGGGCTATGATTGTTTCCTTCACATCACTCGCAATTCTTCATATTACTAGACTATAAATAATCTGTGCAGCTTATAAGGAGTTGTTAAATTAAGCAAGAAACTAATGAGAAATAACCAAGATAAACTAAAAGCATGTTTGTTGCCATTATATTAAGGTGAAATATTTTAAATCTGTTGGAAGTTTCCAAACATGAGCAAATATTTATGTAAAAAATTAAACGACTATATTTTATTGCCCTTTTGTCCCTGAAGGTGAGTTGAATTCCTACTCAACTCAGACATCAGAGACAAAAGTTAACATCCTTGAAAATATAATAACTTATCAGATTACATCGTTACTTTCCTACGACAGCTACCGAATGGTGTATACCGCCAAGTAAAATTATATTAATGACATTTGAATTGATTCATTTGTGGAGCTGATCCCTTCTTGAGAAGCAAGCAGCTACTCAAGAACTTCCCAGCATTTTTTGGAACGCGAAGGTTAATTACCGTGTTCACAAGAGCCCTCCACTGGTCCCTATCATGAGTCAGATTAATCCAATCCGTACCATCCCATCCTATCTCTCCAAGATTCATTCTAATATTGTCCACCCACTTACACCTTGGTCTTCCTAGTGGTCTCTTTCCTTCTGGCTTTCCCACCAATATCGTATATGCATTCCTCGTCTCCCTTATTCATGCTACATGCCCTGCCAACCTCATCCTCCTTGACTTGATCATTCTAATTATACTTGGAGAAGGGTACAAGTTATGAAGCTCCTCATTATGCAGTTTTCTCCAGTCTCCCGTCAGTTCATCTCTTTTCGGTCCAAATATTCTCTTCAACACCCTGTTCTCAAACACCCTCAGTCTATGTACCTGCCTTAATGTCAGATACCAAGTTTCACACACATATAGAGCCACAGGCAAAATTATAGTTTTTTATATTCTAATTTTCATGTTTTTAGACAGCAGACGAGAAGACGAAAGGTTCAGGACTGAATGGTAACAAGCATTACCCAGATTCATTCTCCCCTTAATTTCCTACTGAATCAGGTTTTGATTTGTTATAGTCATTCGGAAATTGAACTGATTACTGCTTTAAATTTTAAGTTATATTGCTCGCACACGATTTGCAATTTGGTATCTTCTGTATGGAAAATGTATATACAGCTGTCTGCAGATTAATTTGTATCCTTGATTTCGTGCATACTTATAATGGTTATCAGAAAATCAGTGCGTTACTGCAGGAACACTTGCAGACTTGCAGGCAGACTCGGGAGAGGATACAACTCAGTTTACTGCTATTGCCTTGTGCACATGGGTGAATGAATGAATGAATGTATAAGGGGTGGGCCTTCTTGGCCTTTGCACCGCGACCACAGTGATCTATTGTGCCTTTGCCTCGTGCACATAGGTTACGAGATAAATTACCGCTATATATATTCGAAGAACAATAATTATCAATGATAATGAATATGTATTTATACTAGATATGCGTAGTGCTGATGCTTTTGTTACACACGTCTTAGATCATAAGACGGATAGCCAAAATGTCAAACAGGATTAAATCCAAACAAACAGCTCCTACCCATATACTACAAATGTAAAATGAAAGGGAAATTTTGATTTAATAGAGAGCAAAAGAAGATATTTCAGTCACAGAATTAGCACTGTAATTAGTTTAATCGGTGCAAATTTCTTTACATATATTAAATGCTTGGCATACTCAAGTATGCCAAGGACCCTGAGAGCTATACCAGCGGTAGCGTAGCTACTGGCAGGGCCTCCCTTGCTGGACAGGTCAAAGGGTAGGCATCAGACGAAGAGAGACACCAAAAACCAAAAACTGATGCCGGAAGCAGCGTCATCAGCAGCGACTTGAAGCACAGAACAAATGATGCTCGAGATGGTTCAAGTTCGTATAGCAACAGGCGTGACCAGAGTGGTTTGAACGGCTGTTGTACTGCGATGTGGAAAGCAAATGGAAAAACTACCACATTATCACTTTTCCTGGACAGTCTCTTTCCAAAAACAGAAGATCACATTAAGTGGAGGAACTGTTTTGGAAGAGACTGTGGACCTGTCATCTGACAGTTACTGATCAATCAATATTAAATGCTATAACAGATCAATACAGGAACTCTGTAAACTCTTGTATTTGTAAATAGTTGTTTTACTGTACCTTTTCTGGAATATTTCTCTCGTGCAGTTCATCTAGTGTTGGCCGATATTGATGCTGAATCGAAAGATCCCTGTAGTGCTCTACCCTTGGTGGTACTTCCCTCGTCAGCTGACCCCAACTTTTATAACGTGAGTCATACACATACGAATACTGTTGGTTAGGAGTTGACGATGTCATATAGTCATTTTCCTTGTCGTCGTTCTCTGCATCTACTATATCCACTTGAAAACGAGTAGAGCCATTTTCATCAATATCCTGAAGCTCCTGCTGTTCTCTAAAATCAGGATTTTTTGCTGGGGTTAAGTTGCTGTTCATTTTTAGTCTTTCCGTCGTCTTGTCGTGTTCACGGCTCGTAAGGCAACTGAACAGCGCGCTTCTCAGACAGAGCCAGTCTGAGTCCTACATCATATAAATGCTCTCATACGCAATGAAAGCTGGGGAGTACTGTGTTGGTTTCATATTTCGCCAACAGATGGCAGGTTCTTACGTACCCATCATTTTCATGGTAGCTTCACATTTGTTGTGATGTTCATTTGATTTATGCGTTGTTAGCGGTTGCTAGTACGTATATTATTTCGAATGATGAATTGCGAATGTTACAAAGGAGAGAGATGACAGTTCGGTTTCTAAAGCGAAGTTGAAAGGAAAATATAAAAATTGACAGGTGGGTTGGTGTTACTTAAATTATAGTGTACACTGATGATGTGAGACCACATGCAGTATGCGCGATACATCTTCTTTTATGTTATATATTTAATTGTTCTTTTCAGAACTGTATTGAGAGGCTATCTATGTTTACACATTACAGGCACATATTTAGGAAGGTGGCAGAATTTCACCTTCTACGTGAGTAGAAAGCAACGTGTAGTAACTACAGAAGCGAAGTGTCACAAGAAAAGTTCGCAGACGGAAGCTCAACTTTGGAAGAAATCGAGAATAATTGTGCCACAATGGAACATATTTTGTGCAAAGGGAAAGAGGACCATGTCGTCGGTGGCTCGCTTGAGTAAGGGGTACCATACCTCTCTGCTATTTCAGCATTAAAATTTGGCTGTGGTCAATCTCAATGTGTTCCGCCCATTAAACCGGTTGTCAAATCATGTAATCCTGAGCCGATTGTCCATCCAATCCTGGGCACTGCAGATGCTTTGGAACTTATAAAGCCGTGGTTACTGATTATTGGCCAGGTTCTTGGGCGGGATCCAGAAATTATGGAAATTGTTGGTAGCAACAATTTTGCAGATACCAACCACATTATGGAACGCTGCTCGTAACCGATGCAGGTGGTTTATTCATGGTTACCAAGAATCCGGAAACAATTCGAAATTATCCCGTGGGTGTCATATTTACGCCGAATACCACAGAATTTAGCAGATTGGCCAGAGCTTCTACTCAGTAAGTAGTGGGAAGCAATGTGAAATCCAGATCCTGAACGTATGAGATCTCTAGCGGTGGCCCTGGGAACTAATATCGTATTAGTCCATGAAGGAACGTCAGTCGTGATCGTCTTGACCGGTCTTGACTGTCATGATTTCCATTGGCTCCGATGGTGTCGCTGGGATCAAGTGTGATACCCGAGGAACTGATTGGCGTTGCGGAGCTCAAAGTCTCGGTATATTCTACTGCTGGACGGTCCTCAAAGTTGCCTGTGATCCAACAGAATATGTTTCGGATTTTCCACAGGTTTTATGCCGCGTATGCTACACATCGCTTTACGAGGCAGTGCAGCTAACGAGCCGTTGCCAGGAAGGGCCGCAGTGCTCTCACAGTATATATGTTGGAAGAGATACATCCTGTGTTTAAGGCTCTTTTTGAAAACTGCTCGCTTGTACTTAAAAATTAGCCGATAAAAATTCGCTAGGTGGAATCAATGTCTCATACGATCATGGAACCAGTATGATTCCATCCTTTTCTAAGTTATTTCTTAGGTGTCGTGTCGAATCACTTAAATCTTACACAGAATATTTAGTAAGCGCTTTAAAGTAGTTTTCTTGCCGACAATATCCGTCGTCGTTTTCAAGGAGCAGGAGAAATGTATTTTGGAGAAAGGAATGATAATCTTGCGGGCCACATGCTGCTCACGTGCCCCGAGTCAGACAACCCTGATCCAGATATTTTATAGAAAAACCCCAACCCATGGCCCAAGTAGTAGAGTATAAGGTGTCCGCAAATGCTCCATCAAAATATAAGCAGTGTATTTGCCATGTGAATTATTCCATGCACGCTACGGTCTACCCTACGTGATGCGATATGATTCACTTCACACCACTGTTCTAAAGAAAAATATACGTGTAACTTGGTGTACTTCTATTCACGCCGCTGGTCTACCTTACGTGTGATGCTGTATGATTCCTTGCACGCCACTGATCTACCCTGCGTATACTGCTCTTTTATTGCATTAACGCCTACCCTTTGCATATTGAGGCTTGCTCTCCGTTTACTGCGGGAATGAGAGTGCGTCATTGATCAGATAGTGACGCAGACTGTTATGTCATCATTATAAAGTTACTAGATTGCATTTCTACATATTTCTAATATCTGTACATCGGTGGGAAATTCAAACAAATTTACACAAAAATTTTCTTCCTTAAGGTTGCCTACGCAAGGCGTGACGTACGCTGGTTCTAGGAGTAGATGGATTTCATGTTTCTGTTCACACCACTGGTCTTGATATCAAGACCAGTGGTGTGAACAGAAATAATAATAATATATGCATATAATGTATATATGTAAATAATATAAATGTATGTATACATTTCGTTGGGGCCATAGACAATTATTACAACATTTAAAACCTTATTTATGTACCATTCAAAGAATTATGGGCTAAATGAAAATGAAAGCTTGTAACAAAACTGATAACATGTAAAAATCGTTATAAAAAGAATACGCGGTAGCGTAGTTGGTTGAGGGGCTATGCTACAAGCCGGAAGGTCGCGGATTCAAGTCCCGATGAGGCCATTGAATGTTTTTTCAGTTCACCTAATCATTCCAGCCGCACTATGGCCCTGGTTTTGACTCAGCCTCTAACAGAAAGGAGTACCAGGAATTAATTAAATAATTTTCCTGGTGAGTAAAGCGTGGCCGGCGCGTAAGGCTGACAACCTTACCGCCATCTTTAAGCCGATTGTCTAGATAATGCGGGACCCTCAACATCTCACAATCCTATGGGCCTTTACGGCCCGGTACAGGGACAGCTTTACTTTAGTTACATTCTTTTACCTTGATGCTCAGTAACGCTTTCAACTGTTCTCATTAAAGCAGCTCTGCAACCTACATGCTCTGATTCCTGAACATCTGTAGTGGAAAGAATGTACGGTATATTATATATACTGCCATGAGTAGGTAACTAATGTTATTAAACGTATGGTATCCTCTCGTCACACATTTACTGCACGGAGAATATTTTACAGAAATAATTGTTACCACCACGCCTAATGTGTTTTTATCACTACATAAAAATTAACTCCTTCATGTGGCAAATTCCATGAAGCAGAAATATTCTTGAGAAGCTAAAAGTCACTTCACTGGTCAGAAACTTTCCTAACTTCTATATAACACATTCCACATCTCATTCTGTTTATTTAGCATCAATTTCAACACCATTCTCTCATCTACACCCATGTCTCCTAAATGACCTCTCTTTTTTTTCGATGAAATTTTTATGTGTGTTGGTCATCCCTTTATATGCTCCATACGCCTCCCACCTTACCCGCCTTTATCTGACGACTGTAACAGTACTGGTTAAGAGAACAATTCATGGAACTCCACAGTGTGTAATTTTCTACCTTCTCCTGTTACTTTTTCTTCAGTCCTAATATTCTCCTCGGCACTTCGTTCCCAATAATCTCAATGTTCCAACAGCGAACAGGTAAGATGACAGAATATTATATAAACCAATGTTGCGACGAGGCGTATCTGCCTCCAGATCTGTTGATATAATGATATGCCAAGAACTATTTCGTACGCCTTCGGGTCACCAACTATTTGTTCTTGTTTTGTTTGCGCATGATTGATGTTACACAAGAATATTACAAGCTGTGTGACTGCAAGTTCTCACGGCGGTGGCTGTGAAGTTTATCGTTTGCAGTGTTTCGGTGGAACACTTTCATGACGATACAGTACTCTTCTACTCTGCGGATAGAGGCAGCAGGTTCTTCCGAAACTTTGGTGACGGTCGATACAGAGATACATGACAGAAAACACTAATTTTAATATCTTAGTTCCTTGATTTGGGAATGTAGGAACAATCGAATGAGTAATAAAGGAATAAAAATATAAGAAGATCTTTCTTCGCATTGGTCTGCAGTCTCGTGTGAACCGTGTCACATGTTTTGAGTTCGTATTATTTTTCAGTATAGATACTTTTGAATATTCACTGAACAAGGAAAGCATTCCGTTCTAAAATTTCAATTTTCGAGAACTACGAACCAAAGAACCTGATTAATAATTCTTAATCTAAACCCCTTCCCAAAATATTTTTCTTTGAAAAAGTTAAATTTTCTACATATTGTGTGAACATCTCAGCAGTTCTGTACAGAGCCCTGTCGGTGTTTTAAACATGCAGGTGGGATAAGGTCAGTTGGCGGGGCAAGTCAAGAATTCAAGAGGAGACACTGAGTCTCAAATAGCAGTCACACAGAATAATTTGCCATCGCTTAAAGTTCAGACACGAATCTTGTGTATACCAAACTTTGTTGGATTATTTTAGTTCAAGGATAAGAGAAGTTTTACTAAATGTATTTCACGATTGATATGGTGCCCTACGTTTGGATCAAACTTCTAATTTTCGTTCAAGTAATTCACAAAGGAGAGTTTTTAATACGATAATAATATCATACTTTATATTGAGTCAGTATGACCCAGTAAAAATGAAGTTATATCAGAGATACAGTATTTGTTTACACTCACATTAAAACTGAAATAATTTAATTAAACTCGCAAGAAAGCCCATAATTTTACAAGGATTACCAATGCACTAAGTAAGAAGAAACTGCTGGTATTATATAGTTATAAACAGGAAGTATGAAGAAAGTCGTCTTCTGGGTTTAGGCGCCGTGTATTCTTCGTTTTGGCCGATGTTTCGGAGGAACGTAGCGAGAGCAGTAGCTCTCTGCATTCCAAGCCATTCACCTGCTCTGAAGACGGAGGCGATACGTTCCTCCGAACGGAGACAGATCCAGTCTCCGAAACGTCGTGGTTTTTTGTGTTTCACATACCAGACGATGGATGAAGTCCAAAATAAACCAAAAGAAGTAGTTTTATTTCTTGTTAAGGTTCTCAAGAATAAAACAAACTGTTGGTCTCTAAGAAATTTTGGGACTTTTCCACTCTAAATGCGAGCAATATCTCCAAGGTGTGCCACAGCTGCAGACAATATCTCCAGATATCTATGCGCGTTTTAATAAACACACTGTCTCCTTTGAGGATAATTTTATTTGTTTCAATCCTACTTAATGCATGGTTCGTATTACTGTATTACCGTGCTATCTGTATTGTTTTAGTTCGTATTTTTTAATTCTTGGTCTAGTTTTAAGTCTGGTTCTAGTTTTGTGCATTCAGCGACGGCCTGTAATAAGCTACTCGCTGTTGGCAAGTGGGACAGCTTACTTCGGAATTCTTTGGCAGACACAATATACGGCGATGGATTATGTTCACAACAAACATCATGAAAGTCGACCATACTGTTCAAAACACATCAGTGGATAAAAGCAAGTTTGCGTCTGGCGGCCTCATATGTATAAAGTTTCAACAAAGAAATCAATAAGAACACGAACTTAAAAATCAACTTGTAACGTGAGGACACCTCCCGCTTAGCAGATAGATACGGCTGTCACTTAAACTCTTCTGGGAAAAGGAAATACAATTCCACTACTAATCTGATGACTTCTCTACCGTGAGTCGGTCCCCAGAAATTCTTTTGTGAAAGCTAGAAGCACCACAAGATGTTCTGACACATTTCCTTCCACTCAGTTACACCGATATGAAAGATAGATCCGAACCCTTGTAGCGAAGTTTCTAACTAACTACCTCCATGGAGCTGAGTCCTTCTTGAGAAGCAGTCAGTTGCTCAACTACTCAAGAATTTCACAATATCTTATTGAACCCGAAGATTCATTACCGTGATCACTAGAGCCCTCCACTGGTCCCTATCCTGACCTACAACAACCCAACCCATATCACCCCATTCTATTTCTCTAAGATTCATTTTAATATTATTCTCCAAAAAATATCAAGTCTCTCCTAGTGGTATCTTTCCTACTGGGCTACCCACTGAAATCATATACGCACTCCTCATNTCAACCCATATCACCCCATTCTATTTCTCTAAGATTTATTTTAATATTATTCTCCAAAAAATATCAAGTCTTCCTAGTGGTCTCTTTCCTACTGGGCTACCCACTGAAATCATATACGCACTCCTCATACATGCTCCATTCCCTGCCCACCTCATCCTCCTTGATTTCATCATTCTAATTATTTTTGGTGAAGAGTACAAGTTATGCAGCTTCTCATTATTCACCTTCTTGTTTCATCCCTCTTTAGTTCTAATATTCTCTCAGCACCCTGTTCTCAAATACGCTCAGTATATATTCCTCTCTTAATAGCAGAGACCACGTTTCACACTCATACAAAACTCAAGACAAAATATTGGTTTTGTGTATTTCAATTCTTACAGTTTTCTTTTTAACATAACCACATTATTTTGTTTGGGTCTGCCGAATAATTCCTGCGTAAATGGGCAAATTATCCTCCAGTTGTTTCCGTACGGACCCTTCGTTCTCACGTCAGTTGTGGTGCGTGTAGTCTGCCCCAGGCGCTTTGCACTGTCCACTTCAATATCGGTGTGTGGCATACGTACACGCTTCTTCGCAAAAAAAGTCTGACTCTGCCAGAACTTTGTTACGAATTGTACACAGTGGCTCAGCTTCGCCGGTCCGTGAGAAAACCGAACTGCACATACTTAAGCTGCATTTTCGCTACGGCCTTCTGTCTCTTTATTTTCGATGGTCTTTCTCACTAAGAAAATCAGGTCGAATACTTAGTCCGATAATGGCTTGAATGTGCAATGAAATTATTGTCATTTTTTGGCGGTTTATTATCACTTTCCATTATCAGGTTATCCATTTAGTACAGAAATATACAATGTAAACTATTCACACCACTATTAATTGTCTATCACAATTCACTCACTTCCTTCTCTAACTGACCAGCACCAACGGAGACAACTCTTTTGTGCTCATGCGAAAAATTCTAGAAATGCCACAAAGCGAAGCGAGATATAACACCGTGTAGTCCGGTGAAAGTCAGCTGTTTCGGAGGAAGAACGTGACGCCAACCCAAGCAACAAACCAGCATGAAGCAGGCAGCAAGATTGCAGAGTTTATCAACAGCTAAGAATATTCAACATTTCCATCAGCACTGTGGGCTGCAGGACCATGAAGTGGGCCGAGAAGAAGAAAATGGTCCAGACAGCATCTGTCGACAATATACTGCCTACTTCTGCTCTTGTCGCCAAAATATTCGCCAAGTTTTGACGTCCTAACAGATATTCAGAGCGAAACAAATATGAAAGTAAGTTCCGTAAAGGAAAAATAAAAATACACAAGAAGCGACAGAATTCATCAAGAGTAACTGGAAAGATCTCACGAAAGGAAAAACAGATTTATTACTGTGTATGAGAACGTGAAAACGATTAGGGCAGAGTGCTTCCGGAGGGGCTAAAGTCAAGCCTGCCAAGTATTTGCCAGGCCCTTATGATACTCGAAATTTCATTACCATGTTTTCAAGAATTCTACACTGGTTCCTGTCCTGAGCTAGATGAGTCCAGTCCATGCCCTCACAACCTATTTGTTTAAGATCCATTCTAATATTATCTACTCATCTACGTTTAGGTCTTCCAAGTGACCTCTACCCTTCTCGTTTTCGACATGAGAAGTCTATCATTAAGTCTATACAAATTTAAAGTCACTATGGTGAAAGACGCTGAAGATCGTCCTTCGTTACGCTGCCTTCATGTTTCAGGTACTGTTGAAGATTTGGAATTAAGAATTACAAAGACTGGAAACTTAATATATAAAGTTTAATAAATATTTGCGACACAGGAGGTTGCCATCGGTAGCATCTTGTTCGTAGTAAGGCACAGTGAAATGTGTTAGATATTTTCAAACCAAAATTTATTTGTACATATGTTTAATTAAATAACTATATTTTTGTGAAACTTGATTTGTCTCCCTGAGGGAGTATGAAAGGCCCGGTCCTCTTGGCAAAAATTTTGGCGAAAGAGAAAATAGCATTCTTTTTAGGGGCGTAAAACATTTCGTTAAACAAAAATCTATGACGCATACGATAAAGAAACCTGAAATACATTTGACATGCAAGCACATATTGTCGAGGGGCATATGTAAAATTCAACACCAAATTGTACGTACTTTCTGGAGTTTGCCTGTGTTCCTTCAAATGACGATCACATATCAGAAAAGTGACTCAGTTTCTTTGTTAAAGTTGAAATTACACTGAACTACTAAAGAACCATCGGGCTCATGTGAGACTCCGAACGAAATTCCCTTCCATTATCTTCTACCTCTCATTGGAGTTCACAAGCACTTACATAAATTTCTGCAATGACGGAAGACGAACACAAGGCGGGTACTCGGTTCTTTGTGCTTGAGAGGCTGTGCAAGATTGCCGGAACGCCAGTGACTCCAGGCGAGGAGTCACACCTTTACAACCTGTACCGGGTGTTAGTTGTGATGAGTGGGTACCTCACACTCTTGACAACATTCATTGGCATTGCGAGGAATCTTGACGACATGGAATATGTCATGGAGGCTGCAAGGCCAGGTTTCGTCATGATAGACCTTATTTGGATGCATTTCCTCATCAGGTACACCCTCCTAGTGTTTAGAAATATTTCTTCCAAATGTTGGATATTAATATTAATATGCTTTTAAATGAGTTTTAGTGAGACTCTAACATAACCGATTAAACACTATAGCGATGCAGATTTACCAAATTTGAAAGCTGTTGACAGAATAACCCGGTGACACAAAGAATTCAAGGCAAAATGCGGTAGCATCTATGTCAAAAACCACTACATACCGGGTGATGCAAAAATAAATCATGCTTACGTAAGGATTTATTCAGTAGAGTTGATCCCGTACATAGAAAAATATCTCGAATTTTATAGATAGGCGTTCTACATTCATATTACTAGCTCTCTGAAAGTGTCAGATGACGCTACAAACCAACAGAACTACCACCAAATTCTCCATATTTAATCAATCAGTTTAGAATGTTTGGCTCGAAGTTAGTAGTTTATACACAAAAACTGAAGAGAAACATTTTGATCTCTAGGACAACACTGTCTTCATAAGTCTTCGTATTACTTGGACCGACATTTTCTCTTTTGTAATGTACAATGAAATTTAAATGAACCCCAGTAGTTCTCAAATAATTTGCTGTAAGAGCAGTGATCACAGTCTCGCGTTACTCTACAAAGTGCAGTGGATAATATATTATGTCAATTGCTTTAACATTAAAATCTCTGCATTATAACTCCACAGTACATAACCGTAAAAAAAACTGCTGTAAACATGCGATGTCTTGTATCATAAGCTAACATCCGGTCAACCATCGACCAACGAAATGACGAATTCACTCAGTAATCCAAGAACTGGGGTCTCATTCAACATCCTTTATGATAGAAAGTATGATTGAATCACAAGTAAAATGCCCATTTTTAACACTGAAAAATATTTTTTGTTTATGTATCAAACTGAATAAGTCTTTCTGTATGCTTACGTATTCAGTCTCTTTTTTTTACTTCTTTACAGAGCATGTAAGCCTGAATACAAGGCGACCCCCTATTTTCCCAACTAGAAGATTAGAAAAGGGGATTGAATTTCTTTATTTCTGACAATATTTGTCATTTAATTCTTGAAGTTGTAAGTAAAAGTAAGTGAAAACTATAATATTTTCACGTGTTTGAGTTTTTGATTGATTATTGAATTTATTGGACATTTTGACAACCCGTAACTACATTTCACAGATCACTATTACACATAGAATACTGTCCTCTGTCATGTTGCTTGGTTACGGTTCCCAACGTCGGACGTTACTCTGCTTCCGGTCTCACGTCCTTACTCTTTGATGACCAACTCTCGTCAAACCTCATACAGTCTGAGTCCGAGTCTTACGATACGACCGACGGTCAGTCGGCCAGTCTGTCTTGGAATAAAGCACTCATCTGGATCTTACAAATAGATTTTTATTACTGTTTCACAGTTGACAGACAGTTTGTTGATGTGTAACGCTCTCTCTGACAAGAGGACGGATCTGTCTTTTACAATTGCTGCTGACCCTCTCCAGCGCAGTCATTTTCGGGTCCGACTCCCGTGGGACTCACGACCATATTTTACTGTCTCAGATTCGAGACTTCTATTTTCGTCGCCTCCTACGGCTCTCAGGCAGTATTTGACCCGGCCTCCGTACGGGATAAGGAAATCATACAGCTGGTATTTCCTCCTTAAGTAGCCTCGGCAAGGACCGCTTTCACAGAGTTAGTACTAAGAGATAAGTGTAGTTTAGAAGTTACGTGTGTGAGCTCCTATATGTGTGGGATTGTCACTAACTGAAACGTATGTGCGATGAACTACATATTTTGTAGAACCCCAGTAACACCACTGGTAATAATAAATTGTAATTAATTAATATAAGCGAATGAAACGAAGAGAGACAGCACAGAACGCCGTCCATACCGAGGACTGAAAGACTAGAATAATGAAAAGAAATCATGACAAAGAATCACACTAATGAATGTAAAGTTGAAGTCCGTGTTCTCATATTTCTTTTAGCATTAAGATGAACGGAATACGAAATCTGCTGAGCATGGCTAAACGTTTCACCTGGTCCGAACTACAGACTAGAGATCCAAATACTGGTTCGCTCACCATGGCGGGATGGATCCAACGCATCCAACCTATGATGTGGCGACTGAACTTTTGTGACTGGGGAACACACCTTCTCTACTTCATCCTTAGAGGCGTTGCAGGCAATGGCAAGCCATTTTTCTTCAACTCGTGGTTCCCACTTGATACAGATGACATCGCATCTTACACACTGGTTATCATCATGCAGGTAACATATGACATATTTCTATGTGCAGTTGGGTGGATTTCTTTCGCAACGTAAGGGGCTTGCACGATGCAACGTTTCTAGAATTTGATTGCAACTATAATGAGATTTTCAGGACATGTAGCATGCATGAAAAGCATAAGAAATGCATACAGAATTACAGCCGGAATATAGGAAAAGACCGCTATGGAAACACATACGTAGATGGCACGGAAGTATAGTAAAGTAGACATTAAACGTGCATGATATGCGGATGTAGACTTCTTCACGCTGGTAACGTATAAAATCGTTTCTGTATCTGTGATCGGGTGGATTCCATTCATGATGAAAAAGTCTCTTGCGATAAAATGCCTCTACAAATACGTATAACTGTAATTATAACGAGGATTACATGATATAAGTACCAAGAAACCTGGCTAAAGCTGTAGTGCTTCTAATTGTATTTGAGAAGTAACCGCGATCCTGAATAGCGCAGCCGGTATAGCTACTGATTACGGACTGAACGACAAAGGAGTCGGAATTCGAGACCCAGTGGGGGATAAAATTTTCACTACTCCATGTTATCCAGACCGGCTCTGGGGCCCAACCGGCCTCCTATCCAAAGGGTACCGGGTGCTCTTTCCCCGGGGGTAAAGCGGCCGGAGTGTGAAGCTGACCACTCACCTTCAACCAATCCAGAGATCAAGAAAATATGGTTCTACACATTCACTTTCGAATTCACCTTCATGGTGCAGTGCTTAATTAGTTAAGCGAAGAGACAACTTAACTTCTTACCGAATCAAACCTCGGCCAGATGAGCAGCTGTCCTAACTGAGGTTTCGTTTTGTGGCGTTCCTGCGCCCCTTCAGATTAATGAAGGGACAGCGCGTAATCTGTAACATGAACGCTGACTCCCATATCAATCCCAATCTATTTTTCTCCATCATCCTATCATTTGACCCCTTGCAGCCTGAGTTATTGACAGACTCGTTAATGAACTACAAAGAAATAAAGTCAGAGCACGTATGGAAGAAATGAGAATTGCACAGAGAAAATTTCCAGGGGCGAGAAAACTTTGGGGATGTACACGTGTAGGTGGTATGATATTACTGGAGTATTCTTTGAAGCAATATTGTGTAAGATAGTAGACGTCTTCATCATACAGTTGTTTTCGCCATGAGAGACTTTGATTTAAGTTTCAGCAAAATGGTTGCATCAGATTGACGAAGAAGAAAACGAAACTTGAAGGGTTTTAGTACAAACAAGAAATACCATACTTAAATTGAAATCAATGGTGTCTGTGTGGATGTAAAATATTTGGATGGATGAACATAATATTCCTATTAATATTCGCATTTATACATTAAATGAATAGTGCGCAATAAACTCTAAACCAGATTTTCCAGTCGTATCATATATTTTAGAAGCCTGGGTCGAGGTACACAGTGATACAGTCTCCGTGCAGCGTGACGCTTGGCAACATACTATTTGCAGTGAGTGTCTATGCGTGATATTAGTGTAGTGTTTAATGTTACTTTCTTTGTAACCATTTGATGAAAACTTAATGTATTCACAAATGAGTAATAATACAATAAGCCCAAAAGATTCATTTGTTGACTTAGAAATAACAGAGACTGAATTGACTAAAGTAGTCCACAGCATAGTAAGAGAGTACATAAGCTATTCATAGGCTTCAAGAAAGCCTAGGTTTCAGTCAGGAGGGAAGTATTGTAAAATATTCTGATAGAGTTTGGAGTACTCATGAAACTGGTTAGGCTGATTAAAATGTGTTTAAATGAAACGTACAAGTATATGGGCTACGCTGTAATAGCCATTGGACAACGCTGCGCTTTTCATTATGCTATTTGCTTTGACTAATCTGTATGTAGCACAAGTTTATATGTGCTGTGTTTTACAGGCTCTGGGTAGTGTCATGATTGGCACCACACTATTCGCAGTAATGGGTTTGTATGTGACACTAGTGTCTGTTGGTTGCACCCAGCTGGAGAAGATTCAAGCAGCACTGTTGGACATTAAACAGCATGAACCGTCTGAGATGAACACACGCCTCGCGGAGTGTGTGACACACCATCAGTATGTCCTCAGGTTAGTTAGCGTGCCATTATATTGTCACATGTAGGGGGGTACGCCTGACTAATAACTGCGGATTCTAGATTTTATGATTTTGTGTATTTACGTCCTTCTCACAATTGCACTCGGTTATAACAGTTCACATGTTGAACCCTTTCTTGAGAACTAATCCCTCATTGTTCTCACTGTCTTCTCTGTCTGATTGGTTCTCGAACTTCAGCTACTCTGTTCTGTATTGAACTGTCGGATTCTGTATTCACTCTCCTTGGCTGTAGCTTCCGGAACTCTCCTCAGCTCACAGCTTCTATCACAGTCTTCTATCCTCTGTTACCTTCGGTGGTCGGACGGTGTAGAAGATACCTTCTTGAAGGGTTCTGTTTCGCTTTTCTGATCTGACGGAATCCAGCATACTGGCCACGTCCGCGTTGTTCCAAGAACGTGTTTTATTAACAAT